CCGGCAGCGCGCCGCCCCTCACTCCTCCTCGTTCCCTCCGACTGAGGCTCCTCTGCAGACTCTACGCATGGACGTGTGGGGCACAGCCCGCGTCCGTGGACAGGGTCACGAGCGTTACTTCCTGCTGGTCGTTGACGACTACTCGCGTTATACCACAGTCTTCCCCTTGCACAGCAAGGGTGAGGTCCGTGAGGTGTTGATCGACTGGATCCGCGGTGCTCGTCGCCAGCTTAGTGAGAGTTTCGGCTCAGACCTCCCTGTTCTGCGTCTGCACTCAGACAGAGGCGGGGAGTTTTCCTCCGACCTCCTGAGAGCCTTCTATCGCTCTGAGGGCATCCGCCAGACGTTCACGCTTCCGGCCTCCCCGCAGCAAAATGGGATTGCTGAGCGCCGCATTGGCATGGTCATGGACGTCGCTCGTACGTCCATGATCCATGCGGCTGCTCCCCATTTTCTGTGGCCGTTCGCGGTTCAGTACGCAGCGCATCAGATCAACCTTCAGCCTCGTGTCTCCTTGCCGGAGACCACACCTACTCTGCGGTGGACGGGGAAGGTTGGCGATGCGTCCGCGTTCCGTGTCTGGGGATCTCGAGCTTTTGTCCGCGATACTACAGCGGACAAGCTGTCCTCCCGTGCCGTTCCCTGTGTCTTCCTTGGCTTTCCTCCTGACGCACGTGGGTGGCAGTTCTACCACCCCACCTCGCGTCGTGTTCTGTCCTCTCAGGACGTCACGTTTGACGAGTCGGTGTCGTACTACCGTCTCTTTCCCTACCGCACTGCCTCTCCCCCCCCCCCCCGCCGCTCTTCCTTGCCCCAGGTACTCCTCCAGTAGACCCCCTCCCCCCCCAGGGTCCTGCCCCCTCAGGTCTGTCCCAGGTAGACCCTGCCGAGCCGGTCGAGGTAGCTGTCGACTCGGGTGCTGAGTCTGGGGGTGCTGAGTCTGTGGGTGCGGGGACTTGGGGTGCTGAGTCTGGGGGTGCTGAGTCTGGGCGTGCTGAGCCTGGGGGTACTGAGCCTGGGCGTGTGGAGCCAGAGGGTGCTGTGTCTGGAGGTGCTGAGCCTGCGCGTGCTGCGTCTGGAGGTGCTCTCGGTGTCCCGCCGCGGCGGGAGCCTCTCTCTTAACAGCAGCTTCGTGAGGTCCTGCTGGGGCTTCTGGAGGTGCTGCTGGTGCTGGAGGTGCTACTGGAGGTGCTGCTGGTGCTGGAGGTGCTACTGGAGGTGCTGCTGGTGCTGGAGGTGCTGCTGGAGCTTCTGGAGGTGCTGCTGGTGCTGGTGCTGCTGGAGGTGCTGCTGGTGCTGGAGGTGCTGCTGGAACTGCTGCTGCTGGAGCTGGTGTTGGTGGTGCTGCTGGGACTGGAGACCCTAGGGCTGAGGGTACCGGTTCTATCTCTGCTGTTTCTGGAGGCGCTGTGCGGCCGCGACCGTACTACGTTCCGCTTCTTCAGCAGGTTCTTGGCTCCCAGCCTTCTCCTGGTCCTCCACCTCCTTCCCTGACTCCGCTGCCTGGTCCTTCTCCTTACTCTGGACCGACTGGAGGTCTTACAGAGCGTGCTGAGCCTGAGTCGCGTCCTGTGTCGCCTGTGTCTCGTTCTACGTCTCCTGTCCGTTCTGTTCGCGCTGTTCGTGTTTCTCGTCCGCGTCCTCCTCCTGTCCCTGGCACCCAATCTATGACTCTGCGTCCTTCTACTGCTCCACAGCGTGTCCCTCTGCCGTCTCCTCTTGCGTCCTCTCTTCCTGACGGTCCTCACCCTGCGTCTGACTCCCTTCGTGCTGCTAGTCCTACTGTCACGCGCTTTCTGGCCACTGCTGTCACTGACCCTCTGTTTGAGTCCTCTGCTGCGTCTGCTCTTGTTGCCGAGCTTGTTGACTTTGCTGCCGCCTGTCGCCTAGACTACGCCGCTAGTCTTGTTGCTGAGTCTGCGTCTGTGTCTGTCTGTCCTCCGTCCGTCGGGGGTGAGTGTGCTCTTGGCACGGACGTTCTTGAGGACAAACAGGAGGAGTTTGAGTGCTTTGCTGCTTCTGTACCTCATCTCGTGTCCATGCTGCTGACCCCTGAGGGAGACCCGGATGCACTAGACATCCCGACCCCGCGCTCTTACGCAGAGGCGATAGAGGGTCCTGACTCCTCTCAGTGACATGCAGCCATGGATGCAGAGATGGCTTCCTGGAAGTCCACAGGCACCTACGTAGACGAGGTTCCCCCACCTGGGGCGAACATCGTCAGTGGCATGTGGATCTTCAGGGTGAAGCGGCCGCCGGGTTCTCCGCCTGCCTTCAAGGCGTGTTACGTTGCACGTGGCTTCAGTCAGCGACAGGGAGTTGACTTTTTTCAGACCTTCTCCCCTACCCCGAAGATGACCACTCTTCGGGTACTGCTGCACGTTGCTGCTCAGCGTGACTACGAGCTCCACTCACTTGACTTCAGCACAGCCGTCCTGCAGGGCAGCCTGCACGAGGAGATCTGGCTGCGCCGCCCACCTGGCTTCACTGGGTCGTTTCCTGCTGGTACCCAGTGGAGCCTCCGGCGGCCAGTCTACGGTCTCCGCCAGGCACCCCGTGAGTGGCACGACACACTCAGGACGACTCTTGCTTCTCTCGGTTTTGCTCCTTCCACTGCTGACCCTTCTCTATTTCTACGTACTGACACTACTCTGCCGCCGTTCTACGTTCTCGTGTACGTAGACGACCTCGTCTTTGCTACTGCGGACACTGAGGCACTCGCCCACGTGACGTCCGAGCTGCAGAAGAGACACACGTGCACAGACCTGGGTGAACTGACAAGCTATCTTGGCTTGCGGATCACCCGGGACAGAGCACAGCGCACCATTACATTGACTCAGTCACACATGGTGCAGCAGGTCCTTCAGCGCTTCGGCTTCACGTACTCCTCACCACAGTCCACTCCTCTGCCTACCGGTCACTCGCTCTCAGCTCCACCTTCGGACGAGTCCGTAGAGCCGAGTGGCCCGTATCCAGAGCTTGTGGGCTGCCTCATGTACCTGATGACCTGCACACGACCTGACCTCGCATACCCTCTCAGCCTTCTGGCTCGCTACGTGGCTCCCGGCAGGCACTGAAAGGTGCACTGGGATGCTGCGAAGAGGGTGTTGCGATACTTGTGCAGTACATCGGGCATGGGGCTAGTGCTTGGAGGACGGGCTCGAGTTGTCCTCACTGGTCACGCTGACGCCTCCTGGGTTGACGACTTGGCTACGCAGCGGTCGTCACAGGGTTACACCTTCAGTCTTGGCTCCGGTTCTGTCTCTTGGCGGTCTACCCGCTCTTCTTCTGTTCTCAGCTCCAGTTGCGAGGCTGAGATCTACGCTGGGGCCATGGCTGCATAGGAGCTACGCTGGCTCACCTACCTGCTGACCGACTTGGGAGAGGCGCCTCGTTCTCCTCCAGTTCTGTACGTCGACAACAAGGCCATGCTGGCCTTGTGTCAGGAGCACAGACTGGAGCACAGAACGAAGCACATTGCTCTGCGCTACTTCCTTGCTCGAGAGTTGCAGCAGCGTGGCCAGCTTCGTCTTGCTTACGTGGCCTCTCAGGCCAACACTGCTGATGTTTTCACCAAGGCACTTCAGCCTTGTGATCATCAGCGTTTCTGTACTGTGTTAGGCCTTGTACCTACTGTGCCTCACTTGTTGACTTCTTGACTCTGCTTGTACTGTACTCTATATACATATACCTGCATGCTTATATTTGCTAGGTTGTGTTCACTGTATTGTTTGCTTTCCCTTATATATAACTCTGCATGTGAACTGGCCTTGCGGCCCTTTGCTTGTGCTCAGACTGCGTGGTGACTTTGTGATCCACCCTGAGCTTGCTTTGTCTTTCTTGACTGGTCTTGTGACCTCTTGTTCTCCCCCACTTTGCCTATGGGGGTGTGTCAAACTTATATCTGCTATAGTCTGTTTAGGCTGTAGTGGGGTAGTTCTTAGAGGGTACAACAATTTTGTGTTCTCTACTTGTACCCATCTCGTTTCTAGTTCATTCATTCCTCAATTCTCTCACATCTACACGCTTACCGTCATCGACGCCACCACCCGCTACGTCTGGGCCGTCAACACTGACTGCCGATCTCTCGCCTTCGTGTGCTTCGTCGCGTGGATGAAACAGGCTGAATGGCAATCAGGGCTAAAACTCAAGAGCTATCAGACAGACGGAGCTCTGGAGTTCTTCTCAGACGAGTTCAAGGAGCTCTTCAAGCAGAAAGGGATTGAACACCTGGTGTCCCTGCCCTACGCTGACGAGCAACAAGGAGTAGCAGAACGGACAAACAGGAGCCTCGCCACCAGGATGAGGGCTCTGATGAAGCAGTCGGCCATCCCAGCCAGGTACTGGCCGTTCGCGATGAACCCTGCAGTCCGACTGCACAACTTGCTGTCCTCGCGAAGCCTCAAGAACAACAATTCTCCCTACAGGGTCTGGACGGGCAGAAAAGCAGACACACCTCTACTTCGGGTGTTCGGCTGCATGGTACAGTACAGGCCACACACGGCAAGGACCGGAAAGTTCGCTGAGCGGGCTCGCTGAGGCATCCACCTCGGAATCGAAAAGGAATACAAGGCGTGGATCGTGCTGGACTACGCGACACACGAAGTGACGAAATCACGTGACTGCATCTTCTACGAGAAGATGACTCTGCCACTGTTCAACGAACACCGCGAAGCTGACAGGGCACTAGAACGGGTCTTCAAGGGACACCGCAGCTTCGCAACTTCACACAATGAAGCTGACCTGGCGGAAGATGTGGATGCAGCAAATGTTACCCAGTTCGACAGCGCACCCAACTATCCCCCTTACAAGCCCACTCCAGACTCCAACCTTCATACCTGTACACCACTTCGATCCCGACGATACAACTCGCGAAGCTCACAACTTCAACAATGGCGCCCGCTAATCCCCGGATGTCTTAGGACCTACTATCTTTCAAGGAACATGGGCCCGCTCACGCTACCGTGCGACATGCGTTTTTTTTTTTTTTTTTTTTTTCGTCACCGGTCGCGCCCGAGGCGCCCACCCGTCCTGTGTTGCGCTCGGTGAAAATGGGGTGGCGCGCTGACAGGTGGTAGGTAGAAACATGGGAAAGCAGGGAAGGGGGTGGGGGGAAGCAGGGAAGGGGATGGGGGGAAGCAGGGAAAGGGATGGGGGGAAGCAGGGAAAGGGATGGGGGGGAAGCAGGGAAAGGGATGGGGGGAAGAAGGGAAGGGGATGGGGGGAAGCAGGGAAAGGGACATGGGGAAGCAGGGAACGGGATGGGGGGAAGCAGGGAAAGGGATGGGGGGAAGCAGGGAAAGGGACATGGGGAAGTAGGGAAAGGGACATGGGGAAGCAGGGAAGGGGATGGGGGGAAGTAGGGAAGGGGATGGGGGGAAGCAGGGAAAGGGATGGGGGGAAGCAGGGAAAGGGACATGGGGAAGCAGGGAAGGGGATGGGGGGAAGTAGGGAAGGGGATGGCGGGAAGGAGGGAAAGGGATGGGGGGAAGAAGGGAAGGGGATGGGGGGAAGCAGGGAAAGGGACATGGGAAAGCAAGGAAGGGGATGGGGGGAAGCAGGGAAAGGGACATGGGGAAGCAGGGAAGGGGATGGGGGGAATTAGGGAAGGGGATGGGGGGAAGCAGGGAAGTGGATGGGGGGAAGCAAATCAGAGGATGGGGGGAAGCAGCGCGGGAAACCCTGTGGAAACGGGGAAGAGGATGGGGGGAAGCAGGACGTGGGGAGCGGGGGAGATGCCGAGGAGAGAGCTGGGGGGAGGACGGTGGGGAGCCCGCAAATGATGTGGGGAAGAAAGAGAGAGGTAAGCAGTGTGGTGGTGAAAGGCGATCATTGGGGAAAGGGAAGGGTGTGTGCGGGTTGGAAAGGGGGCGTGACAATTGTGCGAGTTGGGAAGGGAGAAGGGAGGGATGGCGACAGTGACGGGGATGCCAGGGCGACGAGGGGAGAGAGAGATACGAGGATTGCGAGGGGACGAGCGAGAGGGAGGGCGACGAGACAAAGGGGGGGAAACGGGCGGAAGGGAGCGCGACGAGGGGAAGGTAGGGCGGCGAACGGTCGGGAGGGCAATGGGAGGAAGGGAAGGCGATGAGACGAAGGGAGGGTGACGGGCAGAAGGGAGGGCGACGGGCGGAAGAGAGGGCGACGGGCGGAAGGGAGGGCGACGGGCGACGGGCGGAAGGGAGGGCGACGGCGGAAGGGCGGGCGACGGGCGGAAGGGAGTGCGACGGGCGGAGGGAGTGCGATGGGCAGAAGTGAGTGCGACGGGCGGAAGGGGATGCGACGAGCGCTAGGGAGTGCGACGTGCGGAAGGGAGGGCGACAGCGGAAGGTGTCAAACTTATATCTGCTATGGTCTATTTAGGCTGTAGTGGGGTAGCTCTTAGAGGGTACAACACTTATGTGTTTCCTATTTGTACCCATCTCATTCCTAGTTCTTTCATTCTTTCGTCTATCATTCTCACATGGTATAGAGCTAGTTTCGAGACTTTTTTTAAAAGGGCCCACCACTGAAATTCTTCACTGCCTGCTTAACGCGCGCGTCGCGCCTTCCCTTCGAGGCCCATCGCGGCCCCTGCGCCTGCCCTTAGAGCCAGCGCCCGCCCCGTAAGGCCCCCCTTTTCCGGTCCAGTAAGGTCCCGTAAGGCCCCGTAAGGCCCCGTTAGGCCCCGTAAGGCCCCTTAAGGCCCCATTCCTGCTGGAGGTGCTGCTGGTGCTGGAGGTGCTGCTGGAGCTGCTGCTGCTGGAGCTGGTGTTGGTGGTGCTCCTGGGACTGGAGACCCTGGGGCTGAGGGTACCGGTTCTGTCTCTGCTGTTTCTCGAGGCGCTGCGCGGCCGCGGCCGTACTACGTTCCCCTCCTTCAGCAGGTTCTTGGCTCCCCGCCTTCTCCTGGTCCTCCTCCTCCTTTCCTGAGTCCACCGCCTGTCCAGTCTCAGTCGCAGTTGCAGCCGGCCCCTCCCCTGCCTGGTCCTTCTCCTTACTCTGGTCCGACTAGAGGTCTTACGGAGCGTCGTGAGCCTGAGTCGCGTCCTGTGTCGCCTGCGTCTCGTTCTGCGTCGCCTGTCCGCACTGTTCGCGCTGGTCGTGTTTCGCGTCCACGTCTTCCACCTGTCCCAGGCACTCACTCTATGACACTGCGTCCTTCTACTGCTTCACAGCGTGTCCCTCTGCCCTCTCCTCCTGCGTCCTCTCTTCCTGACGGTCCGGACCCGGAGTCTGACTCCCTTCGTGCTGCTAGTCCTACTGTCACGCGCTTTCTAGCCACTGCTGTCATTGACCCTCTGTTTGAGTCCTCTGCTGCGTCTGCTCTTGTTGCTGAGCTTGTTGACTTTGCTGCAGCCTGTTGCCTAGATTACGCCACTAGTCTTGTTGCTGAGTCTGCGTCTGCGTCTGTCTGTCCTCCGTCCGTCGGGGGTGAGTGTGCTCTTGGCACGGACGTTCTTGAGGACAGACAGGAGGACCTTGAGTGCTTTGCCGCTGCTTCACCTCATCTCGTGTCCATGCTGCTTGCCCCTGAGGGAGACCCGGATGCACTAGACATCCCGACCCCGCGCTCTTACGCAGAGGCGATAGAGGGTCCCTACTCCTCTCAGTGGTAGGCAGCCATGGACGCAGAGATGGCTTCCTGGAAGTCCACAGGCACCTACGTAGACGAGGTTCCCCCACCTGGGGCGAACATCGTCAGTGGCATGTGGATCTTCAGGGTGAAGCGGCCGCCGGGTTCTCCGCCTGCCTTCAAGGCGCGTTACGTTGCACGTGGCTTCAGTCAGCGACAGGGAGTTGACTTCTTTCAGACCTTCTCCCCTACCCCGAAGATGACCACTCTTCGGGTACTGCTGCACGTTGCTGCTCAGCGTGACTACGAGCTCCACTCGCTTGACTTCAGCACAGCCTTCCTACAGGGCAGCCTGCACGAGGAGATCTGGCTGCGCCGCCCACCTGGCTTCACTGGGTCGTTTCCTGCTGGTACCCAGTGGAGCCTCCGGCGGCCAGTCTACGGTCTCCGCCAGGCGCCCCGTGAGTGGCACGACACGCTCAGGACGACTCTTGCTGCTCTTGGTTTTGCTCCTTCCACTGCTGACCCTTCTCTGTTTCTACGCACTGACGCTACTCTGCCGCCGTTCTACGTTCTTGTGTACGTAGACGACCTTGTCTTTGCTACTGCTGACACGGAGGCACTCGCCCACGTGAGGTCCGAGCTGCAGAAGAGACACACGTGCACAGACCTGGGTGAGCTCACAAGCTATCTTGGCTTGCGGATCACCCGGGACAGAGCACAGCGCACCATTACCTTGACTCAGTCACACATGGTGCAGCAGGTCCTTCAGCGCTTCGGCTTCACCTACTCCTCGCCACAGTCCACTCCTCTGCCTACCGGTCACTCGCTCTCAGCTCCACCTTCGGACGAGTCCGTAGAGCCGAGTGGCCCGTATCCAGAGCTTGTGGGCTGCCTCATGTACCTGATGACTTGCACACGACCTGACCTCGCATACCCTCTCAGCCTTCTGGCTCGCTACGTGGCTCCCGGCAGGCACCGAAAGGTGCACTGGGATGCTGCGAAGAGGGTGTTGCGATACTTGTGCAGTACATCGGGCATGGGGCTCGTGCTTGGAGGACGGGCTCGAGTTGTCCTCACTGGTCACGCTGACGCCTCCTGGGTTGACGACTTGGCTACGCAGCAGTCGTCACAGGGTTACACCTTCAGCCTTGGCTCCGGTTCTGTCTCCTGGCGGTCTACCCGCTCTTCTTCTGTTCTCAGCTCCAGTTGTGAGGCTGAGATCTACGCTGGGGCCATGGTTGCACAGGAGCTTTGCTGGCTCACCTACCTGCTGACCGACTTGGGAGAGGCGCCTCGTTCTCCTCCAGTTCTGTACGTCGACAACAAGGCCATGCTGGCCTTGTGTCAGGAGCACAGACTGGAGCACAGAACGAAGCACATTGCTCTGCGCTACTTCCTTGCTCGAGAGTTGCAGCAGCGTGGCCAGCTTCGTCTTGCTTACGTGGCCTCTCAGGCCAACACTGCTGATGTTTTCACCAAGGCACTTCAGCCTTGTGATCATCAGCGTTTCTGTACTGTGTTAGGCCTTGTACCTACTGTGCCTCACTTGTTGACTTCTTGACTCTGCTTGTACTGTACTCTATATACTTATACCTGCATGCTTACACTTGCTAGGTTGTGTTCACTGTACTGTTTGCTTTCCTTTATATAACTCTGCATGTGAACTGGCCTTATGGCCCTTTGCTTGTGCTCAGACTGTGTGGTGACTTTGTGATCCACCCTGAGCTTACTTTGTTTTTTTGTGACTGGTCTTGTGACCTCTTGTTCTCCCCCACTTTGCCTATGGGGGTGTGTCAAACTTATATCTGCTATGGTCTATTTAGGCTGTAGTGGGGTAGCTCTTAGAGGGTACAACACTTATGTGTTTCCTATTTGTACCCATCTCATTCCTAGTTCATTCATTCTTTCGTCTATCATTCTCACAGAAGGGAGTGCGACGAGCGCTAGGGAGGGCGACGGGCATAAGGGAGGGCGACGGCGGGAGGGAGGGCGATGGGCGTGAGGGAGTGCGACAGGCGGAAGGGAGTGCAGGCACGCGGAAGGGAGTGCACGCGGAAGGGAGTGCAAGCGGAAGGGAGTGCGACGGGCGGAAGCAGGTGCGTCGAGAATTTGGCAAGCGACTTGAAGACAGGCAAGCGCCCGTTCCTTGTGCTTCCACGTACATGAGAGCGCCATCGTCCCTAAAGAAATGGGCGTTTCACGTGACGTTCTTCTTTGTACTGGCTTTTTTTTTTTTTTTGGAGAACAACAAACAGGCTGCTGCAAGGATACAGACAGCTCGCTGCCATTGTGAAAATAAGAGCTCATGCGCTCTTGTGGGTCTGAATAGCGGAGTAGACAACGTGTATTGTGGCTAAATATGGCTACCAATTAGTACAACTTGGTTTTCAAGTTTACTGAATGTGAACAGTGCTCCATCTCCCATTGACACTTCACCCCGGAAGCCTTGTTCTGTCGCTGGCCAATCATGCATCAGAGTTGCAAAACCTTTCCTCTGAAGCGACGGAATGCTTCACTTCGGGTGGTAACTTGGTTTTTGGTGAGTTCATTTTCAAGAATCTTGAATTTGAAAACAGCCATGTAGAACTCGTGGTTTAAGGGGGGATGAAATGGAGAGAGATGTCGAAGTACAATCTTACTGGTAGGCTATAGTGGGGCACTCCTTATGGGGTGCAGCACTTCTAGGGTTACTGTCATCGCCCGGATAGTAGACATATATGTCTTATCTCGTACACTACTCAAAATGCTCGGGTTATCTTGTATTTGGGATGGTTTAGGGTGTCTTATAAGTCTTATAAATGGAAAAAAATATACGTACTCTGTAACATTTGCAAAGTGTGTAGAAACCACCAAGGGGCCAGATTCATTGAGACAGGACGACTTTGGTGGTGATGCATGCAGCGCCCCCACTTGCCACGTGAGGGATGCAGCAAAGCTGCCACTGCTTGCAACATCCCTCCGTGCTGGCAGCATGTAATGATGCTGCCAGCGTCGTTTTGCTGCCAGCAGTGCATGGATGCTTCCAGAACGCTGCTGGCAGCACGATGGCAGCGTGAGGGCTGTCCTCTACGAGGAGATTCCTTGTAGAGGAGCGGCTCGGCACCTTTGGAAGGGGCACTCTGGCTGGGGGGGGGTAGTCGGGCTTGAGCTTCATTTGGTGCTCAAGGAGGTTGGGATCTCAACTCAACCTTCGCTCTCGGCAGGCTTACCGTAACCATGCGCAAAAAAGTCCCCGTAGGCACGTCCTCACCTCGCCCTCACGTGCAGGTGAATAACTAAGGGCGAATTAACTCGCCCAGTGATGACATCCGTGTGGCCATGGCGAAGAATGCGCGCAAGGCAGGAACATCTACCACCGCCTCCGGTGCGAGCTGTGACGGGGACGACGGCGACGAAGAACACGGCGACGATGGCGACGAAGAACACGGCGACGACGTCGAGGAGGATTGGCCGGAGAACGGCCACGACGATAGCGCTTCGGGGGATGAAATAGCTCCTGCCGACATCGACGAGGACGACTGGTGGAATCGGCCGGTTGGGAGTGAGGACGAAGTGGAAGAGTGGCGGGCTGGTGATTCGGACAACGAAAAGGGTGCTGATGCTGATGATGAGCCCGCGGAGGCAGCGGCGCATGCAACGGGAGCGACGGTGGATGCGAATGCGGAGGCTGACGACGAGGCGGATGCGGAAGCGAGGACGGAAGAGGAGGCGGAAGCGGATGCCGATGCTGTTGCGCCCGCAGATGTGGCCGCAATTGCGGATTCGGATGCGGATGCTGTGGCGGAGGCAGATACGGATGCTGCGGAGGGAGGTGCTGATGCTGTCTTATTTGACGGTGAAAACTCCAATGACGACCCGTGGAAC